CCAAAAAATTTTGACGCAAAAAAATCTTGGTCAAAAAAATTTTGACCCAAAAAAATTTTGACCCAAAAAATTTCGGCCCAAAAAAATTTTGACCCAAAAAATTTCGGCCCAAAAAATTTTGACCCAAAAAAATCTTGGTCAAAAAAATTTTGGTCAAAAAAATTTTGCCCCCAAAAAATTTTGACCCAAAAAATTTCGGCCCAAAAAATTTTGACCCAAAAAAATCTTGGTCAAAAAAATCTTGGTCAAAAAAATTTTGACCCCAAAAATTTCGGCCCAAAAAATTTTGACCCAAAAAAATCTTGGTCAAAAAAATTTTGGTCAAAAAAATTTTGACCAAAAAAAAATCTTGGTCAAAAAAATTTTGACCCAAAAAAATGTTGACCCAAAAAATTTCGGCCCAAAAAATTTTGACGCAAAAAAATCTTGGTCAAAAAAATCTTGGTCAAAAAAATTTTGACCCCAAAAAATTTTGACCCAAAAAATTTCGGCCCAAAAAATTTTGACCCAAAAAAATTTTGGTCAAAAAAATTTTGACCCAAAAAAATCTTGGTCAATAAAAATTTGACCCAAAAAAATTTTTACCCAAAAAATTTCTGGCCAAAAAATTTTGACCAAAAAAAATTTTGGACAAAAAAAGCTCAAGAAAGAGCTTTGAAAAAAGCTCCAAAATGCAACCAACCAAAAAAACTTAAAAAATCAAAGACAAAACAAAATTCGACAAAAAAATTCTTGGAAAAAAAATTTCAAGGAAAAAAATTCGACAAAAAAAAAATCCACTAAAAAACGGTTGCTAAGCAATGATTGGCAACGAAAATGTAAAATAATTTCACTGAAAATTTTGTTAGCGACTGTTACATTGACAACGGTTTCAAAGCAATGGTTGGCAACGAACAAAATTTTGGTTGAAAAAATTTCGGAAAATAAATTTTGGTCAAAAAAATTTTTGGAAAAAAATTTTTGGTCAAAAAAATCTTGGTCAAAAAAATTTCGGTCCAAAAAATTTTGACCCCAAAAAATTTTAACCCAAAAAATTCGGCCCAAAAAATTTTGACCCAAAAAAATTTTGACCCAAAAAAATTCGGCCCAAAAAATTTTGACACAAAAAAATCTTGGTCAAAAAAATTTGACCCAAAAAAATTTTGACCCAAAAAATTTCGGCCCAAAAAATTTTGACCCAAAAAAATCTTGGTCAAAAAAATTTTGACCCAAAAAAATCTTGGTCAAAAAAATTTTGACCCCAAAAAATTTTGACCCAAAAAATTCGGCCCAAAAAATTTTGACCCAAAAAATTTTGACCCAAAAAATTCGGCCCAAAAAATTTTGACCCAAAAAAATCTTGGTCAAAAAAATTTTGACCCCAAAAAATTTTGACCCAAAAAATTTCGGCCCAAAAATTTTGACCCAAAAAAATCTTGGTCAAAAAAATTTTGGTCAAAAAAATTTTGACCCAAAAAAATCTTGGTCAAAAAAATTTTGACCCAAAAAAATTTTGACGCAAAAAATTTCGGCCCAAAAAATTTTGACGCAAAAAAATCTTGGTCAAAAAAATCTTGGTCAAAAAAATTTTGACCCCAAAAAATTTTGACCAAAAAATTTCGGCCCAAAAAATTTTGACCCAAAAAAATTTTGGTCAAAAAAATTTTGACCCAAAAAAATCAAACAAATTTTTGGTCAAAAAAATTTTGAGTCAAAAAAATTTTGGTCAAAAAAATTTTTGGAAAAAACTTTTTGGTCAAAAAAATTTTGGGAAAAAAATTTTTGGTCAAAAAAAATTTGGTCAAAAAAATTTTTGGAAAAAAATTTTTGGGAAAAAAAATTTTGGGAAAAAAAATTTTGAGAAAAAAAAATTTTGGTCAAAAAAATTTTGGAAAAAAATATTTTGTTCAAAAAAATTTTAGTCAAAAAAATATTTGGAAAAAAAATTTTGGTTAAAAAAAATGGAAAAAAGATTTTTTGGTATTTGACCAAAAGTATTTGACAAAAAAAAATGTTTGGAAAAAAAAATTGACTTTTTGTCCAGTAAAAAATGTTGGGCAAAAAAAATTTTTGACAAAAAATTTTGGCCAAAAAAAATTTGGACAAAAAATTTTGACAAAAAAAATTCTTGGAAAAAAACTCGACAAAAAAATTGTTAGGAAAAAAATTTTTGGAAAAAAATTTTTTAGGAAAAAAATTTTTGGAAAAAAAAAATTCGGAAAAAAAAATTTTTGAAAAAAAAATTTTTGGAAAAAAAACACAAAAGGCTAAAAGCTTTGAAAAAAGCTCAAAAATACAACCAACCAAAAAAAACTTAAAAATCCAAAGACAAAAAAAAATTCCACAAAAAAAAGTCTTGGAAAAAAATTTTCAACAAAAAAATTTAAACAAAAAAAACTTAAAAAATCGAAGACTAAAAGCTTTAAAAAAAGCTCAAAAATACAACCAACCAAAGAAACTTAAAAAATCAAAGACAGAAAAAATTTTTGACAAAAAAATTTCGACAAAAAAAATCTTGGAAAAAAATTTGACATAAAAATTTTTGGGAAAAATATTTTTTGAATAAAAAAATTCGACAAAAAATTTTTCGGAAAAAAATTTTCGACAATAAAATTTTTTGGAAAAAAAATTACCACAACAAAATTTTTTTGGAAAAAAATTTCGACAAAAAAATATTCAAGAAAAAAAAAATCGACAAAAAAAATGTTTGAAAAAAAATTTTTGACAAAAAAATTTCCACTAAAAATTTTTGGCAAAAAAAAATTTGGACAAAAAAATTTTGGCCAAAAAAAATTGGACAAAAAATTTTGGCAAAAAAAAAATCTTGGAAAAAAATTTTTAGGAAAAAAATTGAGAGAAAAAATTCGTCAATACTCGTATATTGAGTTTTTGGAATGTTTCAAAGCTCAAGCAACTTACCTTAAGTCAGAATGCCACCTACACCTAGCTCAATAATTGATTTACCCATCCTGTATTATTAAGGTTAAGTTTATCAGATGAAATGTTAGAAATAAAAATACGAAAGTAATGATTTTTATTACTATTTTTAAAAAATAATTAACAACGGTTAAAATCATTTTTACCTAAACTTGTAAAAATTAAATAAAGCATCTACTTTACCGATTGTCCATCATCTCATTTATCAAATGATTAAATTAAATATCTATTCTATATATATTATATATATATATATATATATATATATATATATATATAAATAAGTCTATACTCTATTATCAGTCAGTCGACCACAATTTGAATGTCCTATCGTAGGAACTGGTGACAATGTATTTGGTGTCGGGTGAGATGTCCACGCACATTATTTTTCCATCGTGTCCATAGAGAGTCTTCAGGGGCTGCCAGCTCTTGCTCGACCAGATCTGCAAAGAAAAAAAAATTATTGATAAACAGATTGATAAATATTATTTGTTTAATATTTTAAAATGCATTGACAAAATCTGAATAAAGTGATAAAATTTAATTCAAAAAATGAAAAGGCTGAATAAAAATTAAACAAAATTGACAATAATTTGATAAAAAATAAAAAGGCTCAATTAAAATGAACAAGGATTTACAAAAATTGAATACGATTCAATAAAAAATGAAAAAGAAAAACGAAAAAAAAATTGAGAAAAAAATTTAGAAAAAAAAATTTTGGTCCAAAAAATCTTGGGAAAAAATTTTTTAAAAAAAAAATTTTTCTTAAAAAAATTTTGGTCAAAAAAATTTTGGTCAAAAAAATTTTGGTCCGGAAAATTTTGGAAAAATAAATTTTTTCTCAAAAAAATTTTGGTCCAAAAAATTTTGGAAAAAAATTTTGGTCCAAAAAATTTTGAAAAAAAGATTGTGGTCAAAAAAATTTTGGTCCAAAAAGTTTTGGAAAAAAAATATTTGGTCAAAAAAATTTTGGAAAAAAATATTTTTTTCTCAAAAAAATTTTGGTCCAAAAAATTTTAGAAAAAAATTTTTAGTCAAAAAAATTTTGGAAAAAAGTTTTTGGTCAAAAAATTTTGGTCAAAAAAATTTCGGGTCAAAAGAATTTTGGTTTAAAAAATTTTGGTTTAAAAAATTTTTGGTCAAAAAAATTTTGGAAAAAAAATTTTGGTCAAAAAAATTTTGGTCAAAAAAATTTTTTCTCAAAAAAATTTTGGTCAAAAAAATTTTGGAAAAAAAATTTTTGGAAAAAAAATTTTGGAAAAAAAAAATTTGAAAAATAAAATTTTGAAAAAAAAAAATTGAAAAAAAATTTAGAAAAAAAATTGAAAGTGAGTGAAAATTATGGATGTTTAACTAAAATTAACAAATATTTATAAAAATTGAATACGATTCAATAAAAAATGAAGAAGCTTAACAAAAATATACAGTAATTAAATAAAAAGAACAACTAAAATGGACGAATTTATAAAAATTGAATATAATTCAATAAAAAATGAAAGTCTTAATAAAAATATACAGAAACTAATTAAAAAAAACAAAAAGGCTCAACTTCAATGAAAAATGAAAAGGTTTAATAAAATTGACAGTAATTAAATAAAAAAACGAAAGAGCTCAACTAAAATTAATGAAGATTTAGAAAAAATTGAATATGATTAATTAAATAAAAAATAATAAAACTCAAATAATAAGATAAAAATTGATAAAAACCTACAAAAAGAAATGAAAAGGCTCAAAACAAATTAACAAAGATCTAAAAAATTGACAATAATTCAATAAGAAATAAAAAGGCCTAATAAAAATTGAAAAAGATCCGCAAAAATGAACACAATTCATTAATAATTAAAAGACTCAAAAAAGACTGACAAAAACATGCAATAATTGACAATAATTCTATTCAACAAAAAATAAGTCTTGATAAAAATAAAAGGCTTAATAAAAATTGACAATAGGTTAAGAAAAAAAATAAAAATACTCAACAAAAATTTACTAAAATGTAGGCTTAATAAAAATGGACAAAGATCGTTCATGAAAAAAATAAAAGTCTTGATAAAAATAAAAGCCTTAATAAAAATTGACAATAAGTTAAGAAAAAAAATAAAAATACTCAAATAAAAAATTAAAAAAATGTAGGCTTTTTAAATTTTTGAAAAAAATCAACAAAAATTTTTTTTGAAAAAATTAAAGATTTTTTGACAAAAAATTGAACAAAAATTTTTGAAAGAAATCATGAACAAAAAATTTTTTGAAAAAAAATCATTGAAAAAAAAAATTTTTGAAAAAAATTATGTACCAGAATTATTTTGAAAAAAAAAATCATTGACAAAATTTTTTTTGAAAAAAATCATGAACAGTAATTCGTAAAAAAATTTAAAAAAAATCATTATCAATTAAAGTTTTGAAAAAGTCATTGAATGTCAAAAAAAAAATTAAAAAATCATGGACAAGGAAAACTTTTTGAAAACATTGCCAAAAAAAAATTGACAAAAAATTTGGAAAAAATCATTGACAAAAAAAATGAAAAAAATATATTGAATGAATGATCTACAAACTTGGATGCAATTTCATAAAAAATGAAGTCTTAATAAAAATGAAAAAAGATCTACAAAAATAAGCAATATTTCAATAAAAATAGACAAATGCTGATGTAAGACTGAATAAATTTTGACAAAATTCTACAAAAAACAATAAATGTTGACACGGGTCAAAATGCAACTTAATAAAATATTGAAAGGCTAAAGAAAGAAAATATCAATATAAAATTAATATAAATATAAAATACCTTGGCTGTGTTGTCGTAGCTGACTGTGACCAAAAACTGTCCTGTATTTTTCTGGTAACAAACATCCGATAAAAGATTTGTATGTGCAGGTATTGTGTAGAGAGGCTGACGCTTTCTTAAATCCCAAATCTGCAAAAAAAATATGAATGAACAAAAAGCAAACACTGGCAAGACAAATTTATGATAAAAACAACCTTAAAATCTCAAATTGATATAAATTATATAATCCTAAATATTCATAATAATAATTAATAATGTATTAATGATTTCTCAGCAAAGAATAAATAATTATACCTTGCATGTATTATCCTCGCTGGCTGTTGCTATATGGTATCCGTTTGGTGAAAAATCAATTCCGTAAACAGATTTCAAATGTCCTTCCATAAACATAATACAACGCCCTGTTCTCAAATCCCAAACTCTGCCAAAGGCATCTAGACCACTAAATAACAAACACGACAGAAATATAAATATAAATAAAAAACTACTGGATTAGTAGAAATAGATGAAAGGGTCTGGGCATGCTTCCATACAGAATTGGCCCTACCCTGGTATTTAAATAATTTTGATGCCATTTTATAGGTATTTTCGAGAAAATTCGAAATACCAAATTTCAAATCCGTGCTCATCATTTGGCCGAGATATCAGTGAAAACATGTGAAAGTGGCCCCTTTTTTCAAACTCACTTTTTGTCGGAAATATGTGAGATATCGAAAAACTGTTGACGTCATTCTATTTGTACTGATCTTGTCTATGTTGTTCATAACAAATAATGTGAAAAAATTATTTGTTAGTGCGTGAAAAGGTGAAAATGATTTTTCATTTTCCATTTTCTACCAGTGCGGCTCTTTTGACTACTTTTATATTAGCATCATTCGAAAGCCTGTACATTTTTCTTCTGTTATTCAAAAATTCATTTAAACTTTTGGAGAAAAGTTGGAAAAACTTAAACTAGTACGCGCGCTGCCAGTACAAGAACGCTCATATGAAGTCGCTTTGCAAGAGCGACGACAAATTCTGTATATAAGTATGGAAATATTTATTAAAAACCAAAATTTATTTATTTCTTGTATATAAGTATATTCATTAGTCATAATAAAAAATTATTATTATTGATTATTTTCATTCGTCGTATAAGTTCTGACTAATATATTTCAATATATGAAAAACTTAAGATTTCATTATTTTTTTACACATAGAATTTTACAAATTATAATTATTGTGGTTTTCAATAAATAGCAAATATTATTTTTTGAATCGATATTAGTTTTGCAAAAAATATATTTTCTTTTATGTGCACTATTTATAACTTGACTGAAATTGCAATAATTTTACATTTTAGTGACAATTTTATCATGATATCAAAAAATTGCAAGTATTACAATAAATGTTTACATAGAAAGGGAATTAAATTGAGAAAACTGTGGATGATGCAGAATTGTATAGTAGTTACATAAAAAATATAATTATAATTGTTTTTACTATTCGCTGAAAAAATAATAGTTGTCATTTGGATAGCCATGAATAGCCATAATAATTATAATTTTAACAACAGAGATATATTTTTTGTAATATACTTTTAATACTTAATATATTTTTAATACTTATATACTTGTGTTGAATAGCTATGAAATGATTCTGACATATATTTTTATCGATTTTTTATTTAATGATAACTATATAAAATATAATAACATTGCAAAAAATCAAAAAAGGTAATGAATTAAAATTAAAATACTTTTTATTGCCGACGTAAATATTATATATGAAAAATATTGAAATCTTAAGTTTTTCATACATTGAAATATATTAGTCAGAACTTATACGACGAATGAAAATAATCAATAATAATAATTATTGTTTTATTCGGCGCGTTGGATGTTTTATTATGACTAATGAATATACTTATATACAAGATATAAATAAATTTTGGTTTTTAATAAATATTTCCATACTTATATACAGAATTTGTCGTCGCTCTTGCAAAGCGACTTTATATGGGTGTTTTTGTACCGGCAGCGCGCGTACTAGCTTAAGTTTTTCCAACTTTTCTCCAAAAGTTCCACTTAGATTTAAATGAATTTTTCAATAATAGAAGAAAAATGTACAGGCTTTCGAATGATGCTAATATAAAAGTAGTCAAACAAGCCGCACTAGTAGAAAATGGAAAATGAAAAATCATTTTCACCTTTTCACGCACTAACAAATAATTTTTTCACATTATTTGTTATTAACAACATAGACAAGATCAGTACAAATAAAATGACGTTAACAGTTTTTCGATATCTCTCATATTTCCGACAAAAAGTGAGTTTGAAAAAAGGGGCCACTTTCACATGTTTTTACTGATATCTCGGCCAAATGATGAGCTACGGATTTGAAATTTGGTATTTCGAATTTTCTCGAAAATACTTATAAAATAGCATCAAAATTATTTAAATACCAGGGTGGGGCCAATTCTGTATGGAAACACGACCAGACCCTTTATTCCTATCTTTCCTTACCCCGATGCGCAGACAGAGCCATCACACTGAAACGATATACAGTGCACTGGTCTGGTGTGTCCTTCCTGATGCAGAACCTCGACACCCTTCTCTAAGTCCCACAGACGCCACGAAGAATCATAGCAGGCTGTGCCCAGAAATCTGCCCGAGGGATGAAATCTTAACCGGCTCACCCTGTGCGGTGTGTGACCATCAATGTCTGCTATCGGTTCCTCACTTGGATAAATGAAAAAGGTATGAAAATTTGATATCAGAAAATAAGTAAGTGGAATTCTGTCTTGAGGCAATTATGGCATCGTGCCTTAAGGCAAATTGCTGCAACTTCCCGTACCGTAATGAAATGTTCGAGGAATACTGAATGTTTTCAAATAAATTATTATAAATATTGTAACATTGTCTAATATTTATAAGAATTATATAAACTGAATTGCAAATTATTTGTAAAGTATATCAGAACTATAGTCAGAATTAAAAATAAAATCTGAATTATTTTCGATATACATAAAATTAAAAAAAAAAAAAAAAAACAAAATGAAACAAAAATTTTTTTTTCCAAAATCAATTATTTTGTTAAGACAAGCAGAAAGTTCTTTGAATCATTTGAATCGGACGCTTAGTTCTCTCAAAAACTGCCATGTTTTACATATTCAGCTCCGTATCTTCGAAATGGCTGGGCCCGCCTTTGCCAAAAACTAATAAACACTTCTCCCAATCATTACTAATTGAATGTTTTTTAGATCATTCAAATCGGATACTCCGTTCTCTCAAAAAGTCGATTTCTATTTTCTGCACTCGTTGCTCCGTAAATCCAAAACGGCTGTACCTGCCTTTGCCAAAAAGTAATCAGAAATCGAATCGAATGTTTTTTGAACCATTCAAATCGGTTGATCCGTGCGCCCGAAAACGTGACTGGAAATTTGTATCCATACATACATACACACACACACATCCATTTTTTCTGAGGTATGCCAAAATGTTCAGAAACCTTCAAAACGTCGAGAAATGTAAAAATTTTCAATTCCGATTTTCGGCCCATTACAATAACTTACTCTAAGCGAAGTTAAAAATATGTATGCAAGGTAAAATTTTAGTGGAAATTTAAAGAGAAAACAAATAAATAACAGAAGTGAATAAAAGTAATCAATAATAAAACTAGTGGGATGTATGGCATCGTGCCTTAAGGCAAATTGCTGGAACTTCCCGTACCGTAACGAAATGTTCGAGGAGTAATAAATAGTTTCACATAAATTAGATTAATATAAATACTGTAACGTTGTCTAATATTTCTAAGAACTATAAATAATTTTAACTTTGCAATTCAGTTTATAAAGTATATAAGTGAGCTTTAGAACTTTAGCCAGAATTAAAATTAAAATCTGAATTATTTTCAATATACAAAAACAAATATTCCAAAAGCAATTATTTTGTCAAAACAAGCATAAAGTTTTTTGAATCATTCAAATCGGTGCTTATTTCTCTCAAAAACTGCCATTTTTTGCACATTTATTTTGGTATTTTCGAAACGGTTAAACCTGCCTTTGCTAAAAACTAATAACCACTTCTCCCAATCATTACAAATTGAATGTTTTTTGAATCATTCTAATCGGATGCTCCGTTCTCTCAAAAACTCAAAAAATTCCTATTTTCTGCACTCTTTGCTCCGTATCTCTGTAACGACTAGCCCTGCTTTTGCCAAAATCTAATCTGCACATCTCCACATCAATAGAAATCGTATGGTTTTTGAGTCATTCAAATCGGTTGATCCATGTTCGTAAAATCGTCAAAAAAATTGTATCCGCACTTACACATACATACATCCAAATATGTGTGTGTTCTAAGGTATGCCAAAATGTTCAGAAACGTTTGAAACGTGAAGATATATAAAAAATTTCATTTTCAACTTACCCAACAGGAAGTTAATAAAATCAATATTATTAACTTCCCGTAGGGCAAGTTATAGTAATCGCAAAAAAATCGAAAATGAAAATTTTTATATATCTTTACGTTTCAGAGGTTTCTGAATATTTTGGCAGACCTTAGAAAAAATGGATGTATGTGTGTGTGTGTGTGTGTGTGCGTAGTATGTATGTGTGTGCGGATACAAATTTTCGTCGACGATTTCGGGAACACGGATGAAGCGATTTGAATAATCAAAAAAAACATTCGATTCGTATTAATAAGGAGATGTGCTGATTAGTTTTTGGCGAAGGCAGGTCTAGCCGTCCCGAAGATATGGGGCAAAAAGTGCCAAAAACGGTAACTCAGTTTTTAAGAGAACGGAGCGTCCGATTTGAATAATTCAAAGAACATTTTACTCGTATTAACAAGATGAAGAACAGATCAAATTTTCATGAAGGCAGGTCTAGCGGTTTCGGATTTCTAGTAAAAAAAGTAAAAAAAATGTCATTTGGCGGTCAAAAATGATCATTAGACATATGCACATCAAATTATCAGATATTTTATAAAGATTTTAACAATAAGTATAAATTTTATTTACAATCCTATGTGTTCCGTACCAATGTTCATCCGTTAGACGGCGGCGCGGCGCTTACGCGCTTCGATATTTCGTCTCTATGCAGTTAAAGCAGTACGATTGCTTTGAAAATGAGTTCAGAATTTCCAAAATATTTCAAAATAAATTTTTCTTCAAAAAGTCTTTTTTTCAAAAAAAGTAAATTTTTATCAAAAATTTATTGTTTCTCAAAAATCTAATTTTTTCAGAGTAATTTTTTTTTCAAAAATGTTAATCTTTTTAAAAAAAAATTTTGATACGAGAAGTTTCAGCAACTTCCCTTAAGGCCTGATGCTATGCATCCCACTAGTTCCATCTTTTTTAATTCATTTTTTACTATTATTTAAATTCTATACCTTGAAAAATTCCATAATTTAACAGTTCCATCAGTCGCACAAGAAGCCATCGAGCATTCCTTTTCGTCTTTAATTTGATTCGGCCTGAATACTGCACAGCCAACATTAACTTTATGTCCTCGTAACGTCTGAATCTTCTGACAATCTGGTATTGTCCACACAGAACACTGACCTGACCTGCAGATAAAAAATAAATATTAATAAATAGCCAATCATTAAATAGTACTCTTGTAATATTGATAAAGGAATTACAAACTAGTGGTGTATGGGATCGTGCCTTAAGGCAAATTGCTTCAACTTCGTGTACCGTAATGAAATATTCGAGGAGTAATAAAAAGTTTCAAATAGATTATTATAAATACTGTAACTTTCATTATTTGTATTTTATAGACTAAATATATAAAAGCTTATAAATTAGACGACGACTTTTATATATGCTTACATGAAAAGTAAATAAAACAAATCAAGTGGAGTTAGAATGAAGGACCTTATCTCATATTTCTGAATTCTGAATTTTCTTATCTCATATTTCTGAATTTCTTTCATTATATAAAATGAATTGAAAAGTTAAAATTATTTATTTCTAAGCAAGTTTAAAATTAAAAAAAAATTCAAATTCAAATCAGATTTATTTTCGACATTTAAAAAAAAATCTTTTTGTGAATAATATACATTTTTTTACAAAGTTTAAAATAAAAAAAAAATACATTCTCAAGAACTAATCCTTTCTTCAACACAAGCAAAATATTTTTTCAATACAATAACAAATGTTAATAAAAAATCAATCATTTCTGCTTACCAAGATGCTGTTAACAATAACTTTCCATCTTCGCTGACATTACAAGATGAAATAGGTCTAACGTCACCGACTTGACTGCAATTTATGGCCATGTTTTGTAAATTCTTTTGCAGCTCGACTCTCTGTGCAGTTCTTGTGGGGGCTGGTAGCTCTGCTTCCATGCGGGCTGATTCTAAACGAGCCCTGGAAAAGAATAATATAATAATAAAATTTGTAGAACAAAATACTTATTAAAAAGGAAAAAAACTTATTAATTTTACTATATATATGTCTTAAATATAAAATAATTAAATATATAATAAGTAAATATTAAATTCTTCTGAACAATGATTTGATGCTTTTCTTAAACGGTTATTCAGATCTTGATAATTCTTTTTAGAGTTTGTCAAAGGAAATTTTTAAGATTTAATGAACGATGAAACTATAGTAATATTGTAGAAATAAATGGCAAAAATTACAAATGACCACTTAACATTGTTTGACATTGAAAAATAAATAAGTATGATAAATAAATTAAATAATAAATAAATATGATAAATAAATTAAATAATGAATTAATTAAATCATATAAAAATGTTTTTATTGATTAAAAAATGTAATATATTAATTTAAAAATATTGATTAAAGCCTTATTATAATTATATCATTATATTTATGGCTTGTATATTAAATAAATAAATAAATTCTTATTTAGAAATATTCTCAATTCAATTATATTGTTATTATTGACTTACTTTGCTCTCGGTAGTGAATAATGTGCCAACCAAACTCTGGCTTGTTTTAAAGCAGCTGAGCCTTCGTGATACCAAGTTGTTTCATGTTCTTTCTTCAATTGCTTCCTTTCTTCCTCCTCGACCATTTTTTTGCTTATTGCATCTTCTCCTAAACTAGAAATAATATAAATAAATAAATAAATAAATAAATAAATATATATATATTTATATATATATGCCTACATATATATTATTACCATGACAAAAGATCCTTCAACCGACTCCTTCGTTCAGCAGGTCCCTCCCCGAATAAACAAATAGGCTCGCCCAACTGCCTCAGATTTTTCTTAACCTCTAAATCATCAGTCGAGACATTTATTGACCTAGCTTTTCTTCTCCTTTCGAATTCTTCTAAGAGAGCAGCTTTATCTTTTGACATGTTATCTTCGAGCTCCATATACTCTAGATAAATAGATAAATATTTATTAGCAAGGGGTGTTTTATATATTTATAAAAACAAGATATATTTAAAGTTTAAAGAGGAGCTTTTATAATTTTTTTACCTGTTGATATATGGATTTGGCTCGAGCTCTCTGGAGCCTTTTGTGGGGGCTTTTCGTCATCATCGCTTTTGGAGTCATCACTGGATTCAGATTCTTCATCTTTCGGTTCTGTTTTTGTTGCCAAAGCCGCCAAACGAGCCCTTTCAGAGTCTTCAAGAGATCCGTAGTGTATTGTTTTCTGTTTTTTTACGTATACAACATCATCTTCGTCGTCTGACATTTTTAACGACTAGTTAATAACTTAATATTTATGAAAATAGTTTATTTAGCGTGTTGTTTACTGTATTTTTTTTATATAAATGCCTTAATGCGTTAAAAGTGTACAAAGACGCTAACATAACCTAGAATGTCAAACTTTCGCCTAATGTGTTCGGAAATGTTCGTAGATTTTCCGATAGGTGGCAATATTTTTGGCGCTCAATTTAAATTTTCAAATACCCGAAGAATACTTCATATAATAATTATCGTTATTTTTACATTATTCAAACAATATTGACAAGTTTTATTGCGACTTGAGTTATTTTACCATAAAGAGCACCTATTCTTCTTGATTATAAAACTTATTAGACTATTGGAATTCTTGAAATTTTGCTTTTGATAATGTTTTGATTCAGAACCGAATGTGTTGGCATTTCTAATATTATTAGGTAAATATATATATTATTAGGTGTGTATATATATATATACACATACATATAAGTACTGTGTTAAATACAGCATATCTTTATCTTCAGGTGAAATTCAAAGGGCTGTAAGTTACTATTTATAACATTAAGTTGCAAAACTTTCAGACAATTTACAACTTTATCAGAAAATCTATAACATCATCAGCCAACTTACAACATTTCAGACAATCTATAAATTTTTTTTTTAGACAATATCCTACATCTTCTTCAGACAATTTATAGTAATTTATATTCTATTCTCTAACATTCTGGGACCATCTAAAACATTTCCATACAATTTACAGGATTTTCAAATAATCCGCATCCTCATATGTGTTGAAACACTTTGACATAGTTTGCAATACTGGCAAACAATTTATTAAATGAATCTCTTACTCAAAAATTGAAAAAAAAGGCCATACAATCTTAAATAAAATGTTGAAAAATTAAAAAAAAGGAGACATCTCATTGGAGATGAACTTTTTAAATCCATTTAGAACCAGCATATTGTTTTAAAAAATTATATTATTTTGATCGTAAATATTCAAAAAAAAAAAAAAAAAAAAAATTAAATATTCAGACAATTCATGACATTCCCAGAAAATTCACATTTTACGACACTTTCAGATAATTTACAAGACTTCTAGACCATATTCTAATTTTTAGAGAATTTGCTTTTTAGTTTTTTAGACATATCGAACATTTTGGGGTCATCCACAACATTCTTAGACAATATCAAAAATTTTCAGTTGATATACTACATTATCAGACAATTTACAATTTTTTCAGATAATTTGAAACACTTTCAATCAATTTATTAAATTGAATATAGAGATAATACTTAAAATTTTCAAGCTCTATTCAACACTTTCAGAAAATTTACATTTTACAATAAGTTTAAATATTTTGCAACCAAACTATCCAAATTTTTAGACAATTGACAAAATTTTCAGGAAATAACTAATACTTTGGTGTCATTCCCAACATTTTCAGGCAATCTATAACATATTCAGACATTTTCAGACAATCTACAACATTCCAGGACATTTTTTTTTTTTTTAGGAAATATACATTTATAAACAGGATACAACATTTTCAGAACACCTCTAACAACCTACAAGATTTTTAGATAATTTGCAACATTTTCAAATAATCTCCAATATTGTTTTTTGGGAAAACCTAAAACATTTTCAGACCACCTAAACACGATCAACAAGATTATCTATAAAATTTTCAGTACCATCGAGACTATCTACATTTTCATATGAAAATTGCATTGGTTCATGGTTCATTAAAATTTTTTGGAAAGTATCATTAATTGACTTGAAAAAATATGCCAATTTTGAAATAAATCTGACAAAATTTTGAAAAATCATTGGCAAAAAGACATTTTTGAAAAAAATCATGATAGTCAATACAAAATTTTTGGAAAATATCATTGACAAAATTTTTTGAAAAAAAAATCATTAACTATTCTGTATTCACAAATATAATTTGTTATTTATTGTTTTTGTTAGAGCACTACGTGCTATTTGAAGGTTATCCGAAGTTCTTCCGGCCTTGCTGTTAGATTTTGGAATCACGTTTTATGTACAATTATTTATTATATAAGAAGTAGTTAAGATTTAGTTAGTCAGTCAGAAATCAGGAGTCAGAAGTGAGGAGTCAAGTCAGAAGTCAGGAGTCAAGTCAGGCTTACTGTTTAGATTGTTAAAAAATGTAGTCTCTGATCATCGATAACCAAAAGGTTATCGAACAAATTATTTAATTGTAAAAATAGTAAACAATAAAGTATAAAGATCTACCAAGAACCAGTGTTTTATCTTTCAACCGCTCAGCTCCAGCTACCAAACAACCTCCCATAATCACAGGAGTGATACAACAACCCCACAATTACAGTTCATAACATAATAAATTAAAAAAAAAAAATCATTGACAAAAAAAAATAGTCCATGAAAAGAATTTGGAATATATCTAAAGAAACTCGTGTTCTCTATACTACGTATATTGTTTATTATGACAATAGTAATAACACTATGTGTGATTATATTGATCATTTACACAACGTAGATATTATTTCAGTATTTATAATAAAAAAAGGAAAAAAGTTAAGAATTATAATTTTGGCATTTTGAACATTGAGCAAACAAAAACGAGATCTGATCTGACACTTGAACTTTTTGTTTTTGAGCTGACACTATGATGAGCTTCAAATAATGAACATCTGTCAAGTTAAAATGCGACGTGTGTTGACAGGTCGCTACATATCATTGACAAAATTTTTTGAAAAAAATCGATAAAAAACAGTTTGTAAAAAAAAACATTTTCAGATAATCTCTAAAATTTTGAACATATTTCAAAATTACTAGACAACACCTAACATTTCCCTACAATTTATAATATTTTCAAATCGTCCAATTAAATTTTTTTTTGGAACAACCTAAAACATTTTCAGACCACTGAAACATGATCAAACAGATCATCTACAATCTTTTCAGACCATCTACATTAGTTTTAGAACTATGTACAACATTTCATTATGGAAGTCGCATTAGAAGTTTTACTTCAAACCGCGGCTAAAACTTTTGAATTCAATTAAATTCAGAAAGACATAAAACTAGCAAACAAGCCACAAAAATATAAAATTTGAAGTTAAAAAATCTTAAATAACTGAAAACTTATAAGTCTTTCACATTTGCACCTACAACAACAAAATAAGTAACTGCATAAATTATGTTTATTCTACTATAAAAATGAATACAAGTAAAAAAGACCCGTTTTGATACAATCAAAAGGCGTATATAAATACAATTTCATGGATAAAATATTTAAAAAAATATAAATACATATAAAACAATCACATGTAACAATTTCATTCCTTATCAACAATTTTCATCAGTCAAAGGGCGAATAAATTAGTAAAATGAGTAGTAATAAAACTTATTTATATATAGTAGTAGTCTAAGGTGTAAAATATATAAAAAAATAAGTATCTAGTTAATTCATATATACATAAATAAATTTTGTACTCGGTATGTAAAATAATAACTTATCTTTAATACTAGTCATCATCATCAACACTTGAGGAACTTGAATCGGATTCTGGGTCATCAGATTCCATTATGACAGACTTTGGAATCTGTTTTGGATCCTAAAAATAAATCAACTAAGTCAGTACATTTTAATAATACTTATTTACATAAATAAGTGTGTGAATAAGCTTCAGAAAGACTAATCGATGTATCAATCACTGTACAATCAATATCGGGTGTTTAGCATCATATTTTCACGCGTATTTTTATTCACACATAAATTTTTACCTCATCCTCTTCATCCGATGAAGAATCACTTCCTTCTTCGCTCGAATCACTGCTGGTTTCCAGGCTTGAACTTGCAACACCGTCACGAACTTGTATGAATTTAGAATAGTCTTGCAATTGATCCTCGTCCAGATTTTTCAGAAACTCTTCATACTCTGTCATGTATTTTTGTTTCATCTCTTCGAGTCTTTTTTTGTATTTGTTTTGAGTTTTTGCCGACAAGGATTTCCAGGCGGCTTGCGCCGTTGATTCGTTGCCCCGATACGTTTTTGCAAAAAGTATCGAAGGGTGGCTGAAAAAATTGTGATTGTTAAAAAAATATAATTGATATTGTAATAAATATATGTATTTTATATATATATATATATATATATATATATACAGCGCCCCCTCCCCCCTATTAATTTTCACCGTTTTAACAGTTTATCATTAAAATTATATAAATATTTACATATTTTTTTAAAATTAATTTTTAATTATTCTGGGTTTAGTACACAAAAAAATAGATATAATCTAGAAGGGTAAAAAATATATTGATTTTAAATTTTTGATTATTATCGATATCAATAAATAAAACAATGTCGTAATTTCACATTTTAGTAATGTTCAATATGTAGTAATTTGGTTAAGGATGTTAGTTCGACTACCATAGCAAAAGAATTAATATTTTTGTTAGATTAAAGTTATAGAATTTAAGAAATGCATTTCAGAAATAGTATTTATTATTTTGATATAAAGATCTTGATATCAAAATAATAAATACTATTTCTGAAATGCATTTCTTAAATTCTATAACTTTAATTTAATGAAAATATTAAGTGAAACAAATAAATTAATTTTCAATTATTCTGGATTTAGTGCACAAAAAATTAGATATAATCTAAAAGCGTATAAAATGTATTGATTTTAAATTTATTTAGAAAATCGAGGCGATTCGAGGGTTGATTATAATCAAGTATTTTGAAATTTTCAATTATTTTTAGCATATGTGCAATACTAATATTTAAAAAAAACTAGCATTTAATTTTCAAACATAACACTCGTATATCATGTTGGATTTTTTAAATTTTAATTTGATTTAATTTTTCATCGTTTACAATATCCAAAATTGCGTCGTAAACTTCTCCTTATTGATATCGTAAGAGCCGTCATATTCAGAGTATCAGCTTGTTGTTTTAAAGATAAATTTTTAACGTATTTTAGAAGTATTGTTAAAAAAACAGTAAAAAATGCAAAGAAATTACACATTTCTTGAACAATATTGAAAAAAAAACTTATATTTAATATGTATTATTTCTGTATAGTTAATAATTATTAAATTTAGAGAATGGACACCATTAAGTATAAAATAAGCCTTAAGATTTTCTTTCCAAAGTACCATTCCATTTTTCATATTTTGTTCCACGCATGTCTTCAAAATTCAAAGTTCAATAGATGCGAAACATTTGCAACAAAAGCAAAAGTTACAATTCAATTTCTCGAAATAAACAAGTCATTTTCTAAGCATTGATACCCCATTTATTATAATGTGTTTATATTTTTTAACAACGTTTCAACTAAATTAGCTCGCAATTTTTCGTCAATAATTAATTAACCCCAACAATTAATTTAATGTTTCGCAGGTTTGCGCTTATGGGATTGAACACTAGATAATTTCTTTTTCGATTCCACGGCAACTTCAAACAAAGAAAAAATTTAATAAGTAGATTAAGCAATAAACAGAGCTGTTATTTACTAATTTGCACAGTTATTAGATGGTTAATTGTGTCTACTGATATCACATTGCAAAATAAATATGCTTTTTGAGTCTCCGTATCCCTAGTTTAGTTAAATTATTTATTATAATTTATTAAGTATTCTAGATTTTATACAAATAATTCTAGATTTTATATAAAAAAATATAAATATTATATTATAAATTTAATTTCCGAAACTCGTTTTGGCGCCCCCTTGCGCCCTCATTTTTTGCATGCATTGCATGCAAGGCAGGACCGGCCCTGTATATATATATATATATATATATATATATATATATATATATATATATATATATATATATATATATATATATATATATATATATTATAGAATTTTATGATATGAGTGGAACGAATATTAATTGTTTGATATGAACAAAACAGCACTCAGATTTGTTTAACACAACTTTATTTTATGATTACAGACGTTTCGAGACCATGGTGTGTCTCATCTTCAGTGTAATTTCAAAAACAGTTACTTATATACTACACATTCTTTACTAATTTATTTAAATTTCATTTAATTTTTGATATACAAAAAACACCAACTATTCCTTGCAATGCTTGACACAGTACTAAAGAAACATATAACACTTACAGAAATATTCTAAACAAATTTGAAGTACTTATCTAGATGGAGACAGAATGGGTATCATTATAATGTAAACAAAAGGAGTGCTATTGCATACAAAAATCGATAAAAATGAAAAAACAAATTAATTTATTGAAAAGAATAAGATTTTTGTATGCGATAGCACTCCTTTTGTTTACATTATAATGATACCCATTCTGTCTCCATCTAGATAAGTACTTCAAATTTGTTTAGAATATTTCTGTAAGTGTTATATGTTTCTTTAGTACTGTGTCAAGCATTGCAAGGAATAGTTGGTGTTTTTTGTATACCAAAAATTAAATGAAATTTAAATAAATTATTAAAGAATGTGTAGTATATAAGTAACTGTTTTTGAAATTACACTGAAGATGAGACACACCATGGTCTCGAAACGTCTGTAATCATAAAATAAAGTTGTGTTAAACAAATCTGAGTGCTGTTTTGTTCATATCAAACAATTAATAAATATATATATATATATATATATATATATATATATATATACACCTAAGTCTGTTTTTACACGGTTTTGATATAACACGGTTTGAAAATTGAATATTTTTAATTTTTTTACACGAATTTATTCCATTTAGCACGATTTGAAATTTCATGTACTTAAATTTTTTTGGAAAATTTAATTTTTGCGAAAAATGTTTATCTCACAAAAAAGTATTTATGAAAGAAAAAAGTCTGAAACCATCGATAGTATCTATAGTTTGCGAACACTAGCTTAAAGATTTAAGTGAATTCCCCTTTAGCGCGTACAAACAACTTTTACTGGTCAAAGCAAATGTGAATAGCACTAATTTAATTCTTGTTCTTAAAAATTCTTGTTTTTCACCAATTTTAATAGGTTTTAGAGATTAGGAACAAATCACCCATTTTTGTATAAGATCAATGTTTTTTTTTACACGTTTTTTTTTTACACGGCTTCTTCTGGAACCAATCTCCGTGTAAAAACAGACTTAGGTGTATATGTATATGTATATATATATATATATATATATATATATATATATATGTTTCACTTACTTAGGTGGTGCCTCAGGTTCTCCATCATACAGCTTCATGTTCAGCTTCTCCACTTTCTCCAATTTCACCTTCTTCTTGGCATTAGTGTTATTAACTTCCTCCACCTCGTCAATGTCATTTGCATCTTCATCTAGTTTATGTTTCTTACTAGTATTTTTTTTCTTATCTTCTAATTCTTCTTTACGCTTCTGAGGTGACAGGGAATTAAGATACTCTGCATACTGGACTTTGTATGCTTCTTTTAACTGAAATGGGAAAAAGATTGAGGTTAGAAATATGCAGATATAAAGATGGTAAATGTTTATTGATGGTTTGGTGTCGTCAGTAAGACTAATCAAAACTATCATGGATAGTCAAGTGAAGGCATGTTTTCATCATGTAATATTTATAAGCATAATTATATATTGTAGAGCACCATTAAGATGATTTTTAGATTAATGTAGAGAGTTTGAAAATGTATCAAATGACTAAAAATATTGCAAATTGTTTGATTAAAAATGTTATATAATCAATTAAAAACATTGCATTGCAAATTTAATTAAACAAGGTATTGAAAGCTTATTAAAGATGTAGTATAATTTAATTAGAAATGTCGCATATTGATTGATAAAAAAATGTTGGAAACTAATTGATTAAAAATGAAAATTTAGCTAAAAATGTTCATTTGATTCGATAATGTTGCAAATAGTTAGATTGCAAAATGTTGCAAATAAATCGGTTAATGCTGAATAAATTGGAAAATGTTGCAAATTCAATTAAAAATATTATGCATTTAAAAAGGTTAATTTAAAAATTGTTGTCAATTGATTAAAAAAGTTGTCAATTAAATTTGTCAATTTTTGTCAAATAATTCAAAAATATTGTCAAATAATTAAAATTGTCGAATAATTTTAAAAATGTCAATTAATTAAAAATGTCGTTAATTTTAAAAATGTCAAATAGTTTAAAAATGTCAATTAATTAAAACTGTCAATTTAAAAATTGTCGTCAATGCCAATGTCAATTAATTTAAAAATTGTCATCAAACAATTGAAAATATTGTCAAACAATTAAAAATGTTGTCAAACAATTAAAAATGTTTGAAATTAATTAAAAATGTTTGAAATTAATTAAAAATGTTTGAAATTAATTAAAAATGTTGTAAACTAATTTAAAATGTTGTAAACTAATTTAAAATGGTGTCAATTAAATTTAAAATGGTGTCAATTAATTTAAAATGGTGTCAATTTAAAATGGCGTCAATTAATTTAAAATGGTGTCAATTAATTTAAAATGGCGTCAATTAAATTTAAAATGGTGTAAATTATATTTAAAATGGTGTAAATTAAGTTCAAAATGGTGTAAATTAAATTAAAAATGGTGTAAATTAAATTAAAAATGTTGTAAATTAAATTAAAAATGTTTTGAATTAATTTAAAAACGCAGTCAATTAATTAAAAATTGCCATCTAATTAAAAATTGTCGTTAATTAAAAATGTCAAATAATTTAAAATGCAGAAAATTTAATTTAAAATGTTGAGAGAATTAATTGAAAAATGTTATGAATTAATTTAAAAATGTCAAATAATTCAAAATGTTGTGAATTAATTAAAAATGTCAATTAAATTGAAAACATCGTCAAATAATTTAATAATGTCAATTGAAAATGTTTATCAACTAATTTAAAATGATGTCAATTGATTAAAAGCGTTGTGAATTAATGTAAAATGTTGTAAATTAAAAATGTTTTGAATTAATTTAAATTGTTTGAATTTAATTAGTAATGTCATCAAATAATGAAAGATGTCAATTAATTTGAAATGTTGTCAAATAATTTAAAATGTTAAAATTTTGCATTGAAATGGTGTGAATAAAAAAAATGTTGCAAAATTAATTAATTAGTAATATCATGAATATGATTTTGATTAAAAATGTTGTAAATTTAGTTTAAAAAAATATAAATTTAATTAAAAATGTTGCAAGTGATTTAAAAATTAATTAGAACATTTGTTATTAATGCAGAACATTTCTAAAATATTATAAAACATATAAAAAATATTAATTATTGATAAATGTTGTAGCCTGTCTTGAAATGTTGTAAACAACAAATTGTTATACATAAAAGTATAAAAAAATACCATAAACTTTCGAAAAATATTTTACACTACATAAATCTTGAAATACTATAAAAATACTGATAAATAAAAATATTTTACACTATTTGCAAATCTTGTAAGCCAATATAAAAAAATATTGTAAGTTGTATGATATTTCAAAATATATATGAAAATGTAATACATAATATAATTATCAAAATCTGAAATTTAGTTTATAAACTGGTGTAAATTTATTTAAAAATGTTGCAAATTGCCTAAAAATACTGCAAATTGATTAAAAATGTTTTAAATGTTTGAAAATAGATCAAAATTGTTCAAAAATACCTGAAAATATTGCAATGAACTAAATTTGCATAACCAAAATTAGAACAAAAGAATAATGTAGTATTTGTTATACAGTCCTTAAAAAAATATCTTAACAGGCTTTTCCTTTATAAGAAAAACTAATATAACCTAGATTCATCAAAACCTTCTTACATAATAATTTATAATCAACTCACACTTATAACACGATCCTCATAAGCCTTCTTCTCTTTAGGATCCAAACTCCTCCACTGTTGAGAAATCAAAAGCATCCTGTCTTTTGGTAACGACATTTTCAGCTCCTCAGAATTCAACAACATTGTACTAAACAACGTATACGCAGAATTTGGAGGCTTATCAGGCTTTCCCAACAACCTATCCCTTATGATGATTTCGTCTTTTGTCAAACAGGATTTGAAGCGCTGAGCGGGTGTGGAATCAGGATTTTCGGACTTCATGGTTTCTAGTTGTTCCTGGAAATAAATAATAAGAGATAAAGAAAATTGTAGAGGGTAAAAGATTAATGGTGTTGGTTGTTTGCAGTCAGAAAGACTAATCATACTAATCACTTGTTCATTAATGCAATTTTCATCATGCTTTGGTACATGTTTTATTATTATTTCTACTGATTCTTAATTTCATACAATGTTGAAAGTTATTTATTGTATTTTTCTATTGCTGGTGCGATTTTTTTTTCATTAGACCTAGACTTACTTTATATTTGTCTTCATTCTTCACAGACAAATTAATCCAAACTCCTTTCTCTTCATCATTCATTTTATTCCAAATCTCTCGACAGTTGGACTGGAAGCTTGCTTTATCAACATCCCCTCTATTTTCTTTCCTCAACATGTCTTCAAAGAATAATCTGAACGGTGCCAAAGGTTTTGTAGGTTGTCCAGATTTAGCACCCTTCTTCGATGTTTTAACTGTCTCAGAACTACCCTCTCCTCCGTCTGATGGATCAGTATCGCCGCTTGTAACTTTTGCAGAGCCTTTGGATCTACTAGCAGGCTTTAAATCTGGATGCTTTTTGCTGTAAACAATCCTGATGAAATAATGCTAAATGTACTTGATAAAATATTTATGCAGACTTACTAGAAATTGTCCAGATCGGTTTCATATTTCGCTTTGCTTTCAGCATACATTTTGGTATATTTAGCCTTCTTGTCCTCAGAAAGATTACGGTACTTTTCTGATATTTTTTTGGTCAAATCTGTCTAAGACAATAAGAATAAATAACACATAGGTAAACAACTAGGTAAAAGATTTATTATGTTTGTTGTTATTTGTTCAGAAAGACTAATCATAATAATCATTTGTTCATTGTTGCAATTGTCATCATTATTTGTTATAAAACTAAGTTTAAAAATATATATTGCTATACTCACCACATTGTCATTTGGATTTTTCTTTTTGTACTTCTCATAAACTTGTTTAAAGTACAACATGTAAGTTGTGGGTGGTTTTTTAGGCATATCAGGATGCAACTGAATAAAAAAAATAAATATAAAATCAATGATATTTATTAGAATAAAATTAATGTCTGTTATAATTACCTTGTTCTTCTTATGATAATCTCGCCATGGTGTTTTGCTCCAGACTTTAGCATCATCTAACAGTTCCTGCAGAAGTCTGAAGCCTCTAAGTTTCTTCGAAATTGATTCCCACATAATTCTGCAATCTTGTGCAGAGTACATTTTGAAGGCTATCTAAATAATAGAAAACAATTATTAAAAAAAAACAGAACATTCTATATTCATAATTAAATTTATAGACTGTTAAGATGTTTGTATTATATAATGAAAAAAAAAAAAAACATCAGTTAAAAAAATACAATAAATAACTTTTAGCATTGTATGGAAATAGAACGAATCTGCGAAAACAAGAAACATTTCCTAATGTGTAAATTAAAATAAGAATGAGTAGAAATCGCTTCTGTGTTTTCTTGGCTTAAAAAAAACACTAAAACCCTCTCAGACAATCTGTAAAGCTCTCAAAGACCACGCAACACTCACGGACAAGTAACAACACACTCAATCCACCTATAACACTTTCAAACAACTCACAATACTCTCAGACAACTTACAATGCTGTCAGGCAATTTAAAACGCTCTCAGACAATCTACACAGGTTTTGTTATAAATTTTTCAAACGTGTTGTAAATTATCTAAAAATATTTGTTGTAAATTGTTTAAAAATATTTGTTATAAATTTACTAAAATTATTTGTTTGTTATAAAGTTTGCCAAAAATGCTTCGGATTATTAAAAACAGTTGTAAATGCTTTGAATTGTTATAAATTTTACTAAAAATGCTTTCGGATTGTTAAAAACTGTCAAAAGATGCTTTAATTTGTTAAAACTGTTGAAAATGCTCCAAATTGTTAAAAACTGTTGAAAATGCTCTAAATTGTTCAAAAATGCTTTAAATTGTTAAAAACTGTCAAAAATGCTCTAAATTGTTGAAAATAGTTAAAAAATACTGTGAATTGATAAAGACTGTCAAAGAATGCTCTAAATTGTTAAAATCTGTCAAAGAATGCTCTAAATTGTTAAAATCTGTCAAAAATACTCTAAATTGTTAAAAACAGTTAAAAATAATACTGTGAACTAATAAAAACTGTCAAAAATGATTTGATTTGTTAAAAACTGTAAAAAATGCTTCGAAATGTAAAAAACTTCCAAAGAATGCTATGGGTTGTTCAAAACTGTCAAAAAGTACTTTGTATTGTTAAAAACTGTCAAAAAATGCTTTAGATTGTTAAAAACTGTGTCAAAAAATCTTCGAATTGTTAAAAACTGTGAACAATGTTCTGACTGTTTACAAAAAGGCAAAAGAAACTCTAAATCATTAAAAATAGTCAAAAAATGTTTTAAATTGTTAGAAGTAGTCAAAATATGCTCTTTATTGTTAAAAATAGCCAAAAAATGCTTTAAATTGTTAGAAGCAGATAAAATATGCACTAAGTGTTTAATAACTGTCAAAAAATTATTCGAATTGTTAAAAACTGTCAAAAAATGCTTTAAATTGTTAAAAGCTGTCAAAAAAATGTTCTATTTGTTAAAAACTGTCAAAAAATTCTCTAATTTGTTAAAAACTATCAAAAAATGCTTCGTATTGTTAAAAACTATCAAAAAACGCTTCGTATTGTTAAAAACTATCAAAAAACGCTTTGGATTGTTAAAAACTGTCAAAAATGCTTTAGATTTAAAATGTTCTCAGACAATCTGCACAGTAAACTCACTCTCAGAAAATCGTCAATACTTTCAGACAACCCACAACACACTCAAATAATCTAAAACACTCTCAGACAATCTACAAAGACTTGAGTAAACTCACAACACTCTCAGACAACTCGCCAAACTCAAAGAAAAACTTGCCACACTATCAAAAAAAATCTCGCAACGCTCAAAAAAAAAAATGTCTCGCCACACTCTCAAAAAACAAAAAAAAATTACACTCTCACAAAAAATTCACCACACTGAAAAAAAAAACTCACAACACTCAGATAACTCACAGAACTCTAAAAAAAAAACTCTCTATGCTCAACATTACTCCCAGACAAAATTAAAACATAATTCCATTACCTTCTCCCAATCCAGTCCATCAGCCCTCGTTTTAAAATTCATGTTATCATTCTTAGGTAAAACATTTTCAATCTGCGTAAACAATTCATTCAAATCCGCCTCAGGCCAATATTCTCCCACAGCCTCTGATGATTCCTCGTGCTTCTCCAATTCGACATCTCTAACAGGTGGTTCTACCTCTTTGGCTTTATCTTTTTTAGATTTCTTATTTTTTTGTTTCGGTTGGAAAATTTCATTCTCTGACGAATCTGTATCATCGGTTTTGATTTCTACTGTTTGTGACTTTTTTGCTTTCTTTGAGATATTGAGAGTATCTGGAAAACAAATTGGAGTCTTGATAAAAGTCTGAAGCTAAACATATTCCTTATTTTGTAATTTTTTTATATATCAGGTAAGTTTTTTCTGCCACTGTTTAATCAGTAGAACGAAAGTTTAATTTAATCATCACGGTATGCATTAAAATATAAAATTAGTAAAATAATTACCTTCAGAGATTGACTTCTTAGAAGACTTTGGTGTCTTGGTACTTTTACTAGATTTTGGAGTTTTCGTTGTAAATGAGTCATTTGCAACTAAAGATGTATCTAGAATATAAATATTATATACATTAATAAAAATGTTGGAAGTATTTTGGTTTAATATAATAAAAATCTAAAAATTTTCAGGCATAGATTTTTCTATCAAGATCATTCAGTAGAACGAAAGTTTTATTTGATCATCATACAAGAATATGTTTAACCAATTAACATTTTACCTAAGAATGATGTAAATTGTCTAAAAATATTTGTTAAAGATGATGTATAAATATTTTTTCTTATTAATTTTCTTATTATAAACTTTCCAAAAATATTATAAACTGTCTAAAAATATTTGTGATGAAGTAACTGATTATGAATTATCTTTTATATATATAAAAATAAGTCGAGTTTTTCTTCCTGACGAAATAACTCCAGAACGCACGAACCGATTTCGACAATTTTGCATTCGTTGGAAATGTCTTGGGCTCCGCAAGGTTTATAGCTAAGAAAATTAGTTGTGCATGGCATCGTGCCTTAATGCAAGCTGCTGGAACTTTACGCACCGTAATTAAAAATTCGAGAAATAAAAATAATCAATAACTGTTTTAAATAATTTCAGAAAGATTATCTTCTACATATATAAAAATAAGTCGGGTTTTCCTTCCTGATGAAATAACTCCAGAACGCACGAACCGATTTCGACAATTTTGTATTCGTTGGAAAGGTCTCGGGCTCCGCAAGGTTTATAGCTAAGAAAATTAGTTGTACATGGCATCGTGTCTTAATGCAAGCTGCTGGAACTTCACGCACCGTAATTAAAAATTCGAGTAATCAAAATAATCAATAACTGTTTTAAATAATTTCAAATAGATTATCTTCTATATATATAAATAAGTCGGGTTTTGCTTCCTGACGATATAACTCCAGAACGCACAAACCGATTTCGTTTCGTTTATAGCTAAGAAAATTAGTTGAAAATTTGCGGATTAATTTTGGATTCACTTTCATTTACTTAGAGAAGTTCAACTAAAAAATACTTCATTTTTGTAATCGAAATAAATTCATTACTGTTGTATAATAAAATTAAATTTTTCCTTTTCAAATATAAAACAAACAAAAAATTTCTTCATCTTTCTCACAAAACCATCTGGTGGCGAAACGGAGTTCGTCGGGTTTGCTAGTTTGTTATAAAATTTACAAACAAATTATGGACTGCGTATTTATATTGTTAAAAACGCAGTTTTAAATTTGTATAAACCAGTTGAAAATGTTTTAAATTATTAAAAAGTGTGTAAAAATATTACAAAGCGTCTAAAAATGTTATAAAGTATCTAAAAGTTGTCTAAAAATGCTAAAAATTGTCTGGAAATGTTAAAAAATGTGTAAGATTCCTAAAAAAATGTGTAGAATTAAAAAGTGTTTAAAAATGTTGTAAACCGTCTAATAATGTTGCAAGCCGTCTAATAAGGTTGTAAACGGTCTAAAAGTGTTGCAGATAGTCTAAAAATGTAATAAATTGTTTTAAAATGTTTTTTATAGGTTGACTAAACTTGTAAATTTCCTAAAATTAATGTGAATTGTCTAAAATTATTGCAAAGTACATCATTTAACAAATCTTTCATTATAAAAATAAAGTCTCTTTTGAATTACCTTTATCACTTTTTTTCTTAGATATTGAATCATTTGCAGCAAAAGATTTATCTGAAATAAAAATAAATAGTATAATTATTTAGATCTGAACTAGAAGTTTCTTCTTTTTTATAAAATTTAATATATATCAGTGATACATTTTTCTATCAAGATCATTCAGTAGAACGAAAGTTTTATTTCATCATCATAAAAAAACAATTTTTAAATAGAAATTATAATTCAGTTCCAATTAAAATAAATATTCCATCTAAGTTTTAATCTCAAAGCAAAAATTATTTTTTAAAGAGGCAATTAAAAAAAAAAAGGACAAAAAATCATTTCGAACCTAATTTTATGATTGATTGTGTTTTTCACCACCAGTAAGTTTATATTCTCATTTTCTTAAAACTAAATTAAATCAATACAATAACAATAAACTTTTAGATTACCTTTATCACTTTTTTTCTTCAATGAAAATGAATCATTTGCAGCAAAAGATGAATCTAAAAGAGAAATATCATTTGAATAAATTTGGTTTCTAAAAAGGTGTTTATTGTATTTAACAAACAAACAGTTATCAGTAACAAATTTTTCTATCAAGTTTATTCAGTAGAACGAAAGTTTTATTTGATCATCATAAGAAAATATAATTACACAATCATTAGATTCAAGTTTAATGATTAAAAATTATATATTAATCTATACATTCGTTATAGATGAAATAATATGTATGTTTCATTTATAAAATTATAAATTAATTGTGCTTTATAACAATAATTGAGTAAAGAATTTTTAGGAAAAGTTTAAAGAAAAAGTTTTAAAATTTTAAAGAGAACCTTTTAATTTAATTTTATAATTAAGAAATATTCATAAAAATAGAAAATGTGGATTATAATAAAATTTAGTAGAAAATTTAAAAAAAAACCTTTAAATACAGATTAATTTATAATTTTAGTCAAAAATGTATATAAGTTATATAGGCAATATGGCTACATTATAATGTAAAGCCAAAAAATATAAATGAGTAAAATTAATAAAATTCCCTTTAAATTACCTTTATCACTCTTTTTCTTCTTGGAAATTGAATCATTAGCAGCAAAAGATGAATCTAGAACAAACAAAAACATTTATATTAATGAGGATCCCAACAAAATTAATTTTTTATATAAAAAATAACAATTTTCAGTCCAAGATGTTTCTATCAAGATCATTCAGTAGAACGAAAGTTTTATTTGATCATCATAAAAAATAATTATACTTAAAATATTTATACTTTATTAAAATAATAGTAAACTAAGTATATTATATAGATTGCTTAAGTTCTATCCCCTAGAAAAATAATTATATTTGAAGTAATTTAATTAAAATAAAATCTTTATTATATTTGTTTATATATATTTATTCATAATAAATAATATTTCAGGCTCTTTAATTTAAATTTCTTTTTTCGAACTGACTTACAAAGTTTATTATAAATCTATTAAATTGAATTAAAAAAAAAAAAAATGATTTGGTTTAGTAATAAATATTTATTGCATTTTAATTTGAGCATATTTTTTAAAATAACCTAAAACTTGTAACAATACTAATGTTTTTATTGTAAATCTAATAAATAAATTGTATTTTTGTTTATCCTCGATTTATTTATTTATCAATAGGTAATTTATTTGTATTACTTATTTCAGACTCTTTAATGTAAGTGCTTTTATTTTGTTTATTTACTTAGTAATGAAAAATAATATCTAAGGCTCTTGTCAAGCGTTATTTTATACAAGACTCCTAAACAATTGATTACAGTTTATCGAAACAAAATCATATCACAAAAAGATATTTGAAGCAGCTAAATCTTTATTCACTCAGCTTAAAATTAACATACGAGTAACCTGTATTTAATCTAACATAAAGCTAGGTGTACGATCTATTATTACCTTTGTCACTTTTCTTCTTCGATGCAAGTTTGGAGCTGGATATTATAGAATCATCAGCTTTATCAGAATGCTTCTTAACACCCATTTTTAACAAAAACGACATGCACCACGTGAGTATTAGATGAAATCTGTCGCAGGCTCCTAAATAATAAGAATAACATTTAGCACAACATTGGGGTTATGTTTACACATGATTGAAATAATATATGTATAACATTTGTAGGAATAAATGATAATAAGAACGTTATAAGCTATACACAGATGACAAGATTAACTTGTGGAATAAAAATAACATCCCTGATTGGTGTAACATTGAGGTTATGTTTACACATGAGTGAAATAATACATGTACAATATATATTGGAATAAATATACTAAGTATGTACTAAGCTGTACACAGATGACAAGATTAACTTGAGTATTAGTTACTAAACCTTTATTAAAAGAAAGATTAAGCATCAACTCACCTTCGGTTCAATCTCGTCCATTAACGGAGTTGGCATAATTATATTAATGACTGCGCATTAATTAACATAAATACCACAAATTATAGTATACACAAGCACGCTTTATATATTATTTACGTTTATATTTAATTTATTAACACTGATTAGATGTTTTACTTTAATACGTTTTCACCAAAATGAGCGGGAAGGATGTGTACGAACATAAATCCGGGCAAAGTACATGCAACCAACATCAGCGACTGAAAATTTAAAAAGTTGAAAGACGATAGGATGTGCGCGCGAAATTTGAATTTGAAATTGATTTGAAAAAGAAAAAATATAAATAAGACAAATTTATATTTAAAAACATAATAATTAAAAACTAAATTAATTATATTTTTATATCCTTAACAACTTATTATTATATAAAACTTGACCGCTTTTACATAAATAATTATTTTTATGCATTATTATTGTTGTATTGTATTCTACTGTACGTGTATGATTTGATACTTCTCCTAAACGGTTATTCGGATTTTGATCATTCTTTTTAGAGTTTATCAAAGGAAATTTTTAAGAACTAATGAATGACAAAACTATAGTAATATTGTAGAAATAAATGGCAAAAATTACAAAAAACCACTTATCATTGTAGAAGTATAATTATTGATTATTAATAAATTAGATAATATAATAATTAATATGCCCACATGATGCATCTTATTTACAAACAATTTAAAATATTATTATTTTATTACCAAAAATACTATTATTGATATTATAATTAAAACAATAACAAAAAAAGTTTATTATTGTAATTTTATTTTTATTTTGTTAAATACAAAAATACTACTGTATCATAGTGAGCCTTTATTTTAATTTTTTATTTGTCAAAATATTTTAAAATAAATTTCCAATCATAATTAATTTTCATATTTAATTTCTACAAAACTTGTATTTTAATTATGGACGTTATTGACGAGGTAATTATTATAATTATTTATTGAAATCATTTAATTAAACTTTTGTTAATATTCTTAACAATTTTAGAATACTTTAAGTCAATAAATAAATATATAAACATAATAAATTGTTACTATTTATAAATAATATTAAGAAGCTACCATTTGAAAAAGAATAAACTTTATTTGGCAATGAAGTTTCATCAATTTTATTATTTTTACATTTTACAATTTATTTTTATATCATCTTAAATAGTATTATTGAAGTATTTTATTAATATTATATTTTATTTTGATAAATATATTTTTATTTTCAAGGATGAGGAAAGTTATGAGGAAGAGAGTAGTGTTGCCAGCGTTGCCAAGCAACAACCCGATGATAATATTCTTGGTTTGTTATTAATTAATGATAATTATTGTTATTAAATAGAATTATTATTACTATTGCCTATATCAAAGATATAAAAGTGAAATAATATTTAATAGGAAAGTGTAGGGATTTGTAAAAAATGTTTTTGAGAGAGTAAGAGAGAGAAAGAAAGAGTAAGAATTTTGAGAGAAAAGAAGAGAGATATAGTAAAAATGTTTTCAACAGAGAGAGATAGTAGTAATGTTTTTTAGAGAGATTTAGCAGTAATATTTTTGAGAGAGAAAGAGAAAGAACATTTTTGAGAGAGAGAAAGAAAGAATGTTTTTGAGGAAAAGGGAGAGAGGGACAGAGTAAACATGTTTTTGAAAAAGAGGAAGTGAAAATCTAAAAAACCGTAAAAAGCAAAAAGTTTACAGTCTTCTTTTAATGTTTTTTAGACAGATTTAGCAGTAATGTTTTTGAGAGAGAAAGAGATAGAATATTTTTGAGAGAGAGAGATAGAGAAAAAGAATGTTTTAGAGGGAGAGGGAGAGAGAGAGGCAAAATAAACAGGTTTTTGAAAATATGAAAGTAAAAATATAAACGTAATTTAAAAAGTCATCAGAAATGTTCGAGAAAAAATAGTATTAAAAATGATATGTTTGGAATAGAGAGAGAGAGACAGTTGCTATACAGAATGTATGTGAGAGAGTCAGGATTTCTAATGAGAAACTCAGGATATAAGTGAAAGAGTGAGGATTTTTAATGAGAAAGTCATGGTGTTAGTTAGAGAGTCAGGATTTCTAATGAGAAAATCAGACTATAAATTAGAAAGTCAGGTTTTCTAATGAAAAAGTCAGAATGTAAGTTATAGAGTTATGATTTCTAATGAAGAAAATTGGATCTAAAGTCAGGTTTTTCTAATGACAAAGTTAGATGATCAGGTTTTTTAATGAAAAAGTCAGGATGTAAGTTAGAGAGTCAGAATTTGTAAAGAGAAAGTCAAGATATAAGTTAAAAGGTCGGGATTTCTAATGATAATGAAGTCAGGGTGTAAGTTAGAGAGTCAGGATTTCTAGTGATAAAGTCAGGGCGTATGTTAGGTGGTCAGGATTTCTAACGAGAAAGTCAGGATATGTGTTAGAAGGTCAAAATTTCTAATGAGAAAGTTAGGCTATGAATTAGAAAGTTAGGATTTTTAATAAAAAGTCAGGATGTTAATTAGAGAATCAGATTTCTAGTAAAAAAGTCAGGGAATAAGTTAGAAAGTTAGGATTTCTAATGAGAACGTCAGGCTATAAATTAGGGAGTCAGGTTTTCTAATGAAAAAGTCAGAATGTAAGTTAGAGAGTTAGAATTTCTAATGAGAAAATAAGGATTTAGGTTAGAGAGTCAGAATTTCTAATAAGAAAGTCTGTGAAAGTTTGAGAGTCGAGATTTTTAATGAGAAAATCAGGCTATAAGTTAGAAAGTTAGGATTTCTAATGAAAAGTCAGGATGTAAATTAGAGAGTAAGAATTTATAATAAAAAAGTGAGGGTGTAGGTTAGAGGTCGCGATTTTCAATAATAAAGTCAGGATTTATAATAAGAAAGTCAGGGCGTAAGTTAGAGAGTCAGGATAAGTAAAAAGAAAGTCCTAATATATATATATATATATATATATATATATATATATATCAGAAAGGCATAATGTACGTGAAAAAGTCAGGATTTTTTATAACATACTTATTCAGGATGTATAACCAAAAGCTAGGACTTGGTATGAGGGAGCTAGGATGCATATATTGTACAGTGATATCCTTTACTATGTTAAAGAACGTCCTGAAATATTATAGGCCTACGAAAAGTGGTTTAATTGTAGAAATTTATAAAAATTTGAAATAGTACACTATGCTCTTATGTCCTAAGTGCATGATGTTAATAAATACTAATTAAATTAATGAATTTGTAAAACAACTTAAAAATTTGCTAAATCTCAATTAATATGAAAATGCCACTTGCACCTAGGTCTTATTTTTATTAACTTCTTGTTGAGTAAGTTATAGTAAATTAAATCAAATTAAAATTATATAAGAAATTCAGGATGTAAATCAGAGTCAAAATTGTGTGCAAAAGAATAAAAATGCCTATGGAAGGATACAACTACAGTACCTGTATAGATCATATATTTCTAATAATATCATATATTTCTATAATATTTCTCTTAATTCAAGCTGCCGAAGGATCCCTGATGCAACTGGAGAAAACCTGGATATCAAAGACCAAATTGCAGGAATATGGAGAAGACATCGACGATGAAGAAGAAGAAGAAGGAGATCAATTCGAGGTCATAGACCAAGGAGGTGAGTTAACCAACAACTGTCCAAAACAAATCCAAAACCATACATATAAATAATTATCTATCTCAACTGCTGTTTTATTTCTTTTCTAGGAGAAGTACCAGAAGAAGCAGGCGATTGGATGTTCTCTGACATGATTGAAACCGGAGGCGGCATTGGTAAGTGGTTACAACATACTTGACTAAAACTTCTAACAACATCTCAAATAATTTATCTTCATATATATAAAAATAAGTCGGGTTTTCCTTCCTGACGATTTAACTCCAAAACGCACGAACCGATTTCGACAATTTTGCATTCGTTGGAAAGGTCTCGGGCTCCGCAAGGTTTATAGATATATAGAAAATTAATGGTGCAAAGCATCGTGCCATTTAGGAAATCATTGTTTTTCACATGGACAGTTACAAGTTGCCTGCTCACGAGTTGGAAAACCATCCGCTTTGTTTGTGTTAACGTCAGACCAAAAAACAAAAAATGTGGTTTACCAAATGGCACTTCAATGAAACGGATAATTTGCGGATTCACTTTCATTTACTTAGAGAAGTTCAACTAAAAAACTATATTTATAATTTCAGATCAATTGACAATGATAAATTTACCTCCGTCCTTGACTCATACTCCGACAGTGACTTCTTCAGTTGAAGATGAATTTGTCGAGAAAAAGGTGGAAGCTAAGATTACTGAAGATGAAGTTCTGGCAAGACTGCCCAAGATGACCAGGGATGAAGCAAAGGTAATAAAATAGTAATGGTAACATAAGAAAAGGTTACAAATCTATCTATTTACTAGCTAATCCGGCAAACGTTGTTAAGTAAGGTATATTCTAAACATTTTCTAGAGAATCAAAAATAGTAATACTTTAAGTGTATAAGGACGTGTTGTTCGAATGCTATATACAATGAAGTATTATCAAAACAATAAACCCCATTAGTGTGTCTATATATTGTCAATACAATCACAGTGGAAGTTTTATACACTTTTTATAGAAAACATGGTATAATCCATTCAATCCAAGTCTTTTTTAGTCTTTAGATATTGATTACGTTTCAAGTTTTTCAGATTCTTTTTGGATTCTAGATTTTGTGTATAAACGTAAATAATAATACTGAGCTCATACAAAATTTTTAAATTTCTAGTAAGAGAGATAGAAAATGAATTAAGTATTTCTTCTTTGACCTGCTTTTTCAAAAGATTCAAATAACATTCGATGAACTGAAGTAAATTTAATAAAAAGTATATATATAGAGCAGGGCGAGGTACAAAGATCCAAATTGACTTTGAGCAAATATAAACTATATTATGGAAACCAAACCAATTACATCACAACAAATGAAACATTTAAACCAAACAATTTTCTGACTACGTTCAGTTAAACCTCCAGCTATTTTATCATTGTATGTGCTTTTTTATGCCTTTCAAAAATTTGTTATCTAGACCTTTTACCACATAGGCGGGGTGACTTGGAACGGCCAGGTGGCAAACAGACTTAATGTCTTATTTTAATTCTAAAGGTATTTTACAAAATAATTACATTTTCAACTAATGCTAAAAACTACCAACGAAAGAAAATACTTTTAGTATGGATTTTCAAAGATTACCGTTTATCTTCCGATAGCAAAGTCATAAGAAACAAGGTTATAGCTGGTTATAAATCTTTTTTCCTCTACTTTTAAATATTGTTGCTAAACAATGCTTAACTTTACTGGTTTTTGACAGATCAGTGGTGGACCTTTTTAACCCCGGACCTTCATAAATTACTATCTATTTTTCGATAAATTCTGGGAAATTATGACTGGAAAAATGTTATTCGACAAAATGTCAATTTGATCGAACCAAATTTAGGTCCTGAATTTAAATAACATTAATAAAATATAATATAACCTAAAAAATGTTTTATAAATAATAAGTATATAATTGTACAAATGAGATTTTTCAGAGCACCGTGTTTGAGAAAAATATGATTTGCAAAAAAAAGAGTGCTACAACGCCAAAAAGTGCATTTTCATATTAACATTTCAAAAAAGATGATATTTTGAGTTTCTAGTAACACTTACAATCCGTTTAATAACGTTTTTGTGTATAAATAAAACTACAGACAAAATAACTTACTACAATTTAATCATAATTAAATAATATTCACGTAAAACATCCTATTAAACGTAATTGAACATCATCTGTCAAAAACTTTTGACATTTGACGTATTAGCCTCCGCCCATTGTTTTGTTCAAATTACGCTTCTACAAAACATTTCAAATTAAAAATGTAAAGTTTTTACGCAATTTTGAAATAATATCTCACCTTTCCGACCATCTCTGGATTGGCACGAATTTTTCAAGACTAAGACTGGCCAAATCGGTTCAGCCGTTTTCGAGTTTTAGCGGATCATGTGAAGTTTATATTTTCATCAAAAAATCCGATTCGCTAATTTTATGTTTTCTCGACGTTTCAAACCATTCTGAATCGAATGAGACCAAATTTGGAAAAAGTATGTGTGTGTTTGTGTGTGTGAACAGATTTTTTTGTCGTAAATCGACGTTTTCTCAAAAGCGGCTGAACCGATTTCAAAAATTTAAAAGCCATTCGATGTATCTCGATGAGGACTATTATTTGTCAGTTTTGTGCGACGATCTGCCAAGCCGTTTCTTTATAAATAGCAGAAAAGTAAAAAAAAATTTCGTCTACGTTTTAGCCCGCAATTCTGAATCGATTTTGAAAAATCAAGAACTGTTCGAAAGATATTAGTTGGGAATGATACTGATTAGTTTTAGGTGAAAATCTACCGAGTCGTTTTCTTGTAATTAACTGTTGAAACAAAAATTGAAGCCGATGTTTATGGAACTTTTTTTGGCGATATATATATCATAGTCTTATAGAACTGACAAGTAGTTTAATTCTAAAAATTCATCAAAGTTTGAGAAAATGAGTAGTTTTTTTGACGTGTGTTAAAATTAAAAATAGACGACTTACTTGGTATAACGATAGAGTTCTTGGTTTTAATGAACATACTGAGCCATCAAAGTCCTATGGAAACTGGTTCATTTATAATAATTGCTGATTTTTGAAAATTTGCTTTAAAAAAATACTCCGAGTTAACGTGTTCGTTCGTGTTCAATTATGTGTAATAAATCCACTCGGAATACTTTTAATCACTCATAAATTAATTTATTTTTTATTGGCTAAGTCGACTATTCACACATATCGGGAAGTTCATGTAACTTGCCTCAAGGCTAAATACCAAACCAACTAGTTATATATAAGATTCGTTTATTTACCAGATCGCGATACGAGAAGGAATGATCGAAAGACAACGCCTAAAGACCAAGAACGCCCTCCTGCAAGCACTTATGGTCAGAGCTTTAGCAAAACGAGAGGTAATAATCAACAAAGAAAAATTTTAATTCCAACCAACATCTCTCACAATTTTTCTTCCTCCAGCCTCCTCTAAAAGATATAGCCACCGAGCCCGGCATATGTCCTCGTTCCGACAATGTGAGCCTCTCCTTCGACTTGATCGCATCGCCTCCGATGATTTCGCGTTCGTCTATGATCGGATCGCGTCGATCGGCTCTGGAGGAGCAGCAAGGGATTTCCCCGGCTGCCGAAACAGCCGCCAAGTGCAGGAAGTACGCTGAGAAGCTGCGCCAGTACGCCGAGGAGAGGAAGGACGAGATAGAGAAGAGACAGTACATGCAGGTAGTAATAATAAATAGTGGTGCATGGCATCGTGCCTTAAAGAAAATTGCTGGAACTTCCCGTACCGTAATGAAATATTCGAGGAATTTAAACGTTTTCAAATATATTATTACAAATATCTACAAATATTGTTATATCTGAGCAAATCAAATGTAAATCATAAATAAATCAATTTATCTCCAGAACATTAACAGTCGTCATTTCATTTAGAATTCAATTTAAAAAAAAATAGTTGCCTAATTTACACAAAATTGAAAAAGTGCTCCCGTATAGTCTCAGTCTAAACGCATTTGCAAATAATTCTGTGCGACATTTTCACTTATACTGTGCTTAGCTTGGCGGCATTTTCACATTTTTCAATAGTTTTCTCACAAAATTGGAAAAGTGCTCCAGTACATAAACAGTCTAAACGCACTTGAGTAAACATTTGCACCAGAGTGGCGCTTAGACTGTACTTAGCCTGGGTAATTTTTTGAATTTTTAATCCAAAATTACAAAAATATTTTATGAAAAATAAAAAAAGATGTTAGAATTTTTTATCCTCAAAAGCAATTGTTTTATCAATACGAGCAGACAGTTTTTAGATCATTTAAATCGGACGCTTAGTTCACTCAAAAACTGCCATTTTTTGTACATTTAGCTCTGTATCTTCGAAATGGCGGGACTTGTCTTTGCCATAAACTAATCACCTCTTCTCCCAATCATTAAAAGTTGAATGTTCTTTAAATCATTCAAATCGGATACTCCGTTCTCTCAAAAACTCGATTTGTATTTTCTGCACTCTTTGCTCCGTATCTCCGTAATGGCTAGACCTGTCTTTGCCAAAAACTAATCAGCACATCTTCTTATCAATAGAAATCGAATGTTTTTTGAATTATTTAAATCGGTGTTTAAATGATCAATTTAAATGATCGGTGTTCCCGAAATCGTCGACGAAAATTTGTATCCACACACACACACGCACAACACACGCACACACACATACACACACATACATCCATTTTTTCTAAGGTATGCCAAAATGTTCAGGAACCTTCAAAACGTAGAGAAATGCAAAAATTTTCATTTTCGATTTTTTAACTTCCGTAGGGCGAAATATAGTAATCGCAAATAGATCGAAAATGAAATTTATATATCTTTACGTTTCAAAGGTTTTTAACATTCGACGATTCGACGATTTCGGCAACACCGATTTAAATAATTCAAGAAACATTCGATTCACATTGATAAGGAAACGTGCTGATTTGTTTTTGGCGAAGACAGGTTTAGCCGTTCCGAAAATACGGGGCAAAAAGTGCCAAAAACGGTAACTCAGTTTTTAAGAGAACGGAAGGTCCGATTTAATGTTTCAAAAAACATTTTACTTGTATTGACAAGATGAATAATTGGTTAAATTTCATAAAGCAGGTCTAGCGGTTTCGGAAATCTAGTAAAAAAAAGTAAAAAAAAATGCTATTTGGCGGTCAAAAATAATCATTACACATATGCACATCAAATTATCAGATATTTTATAGAGATTTTAACAATAAGTATGAATTTTGTTTACATTCCTATGGGTTCCGTACCAATGTTTATTCATTAGACGGCGACGCGGCGCTTACGCGCTTTGACATTTGTCTCTATGCATTTAAAGCTGTACGATTGCTCTGAAAAAAAGTTCAGAATTTCCAAATATGTCAAAAAAAAAAATTTCTCAAAAATCTAATTTTTTCGAAGTAATTTTTTTTTAAATGTTAATCGTTTTAAAAAAAATAATATATTTGGTACGGGAAGTTGCAGCAATTTGCCTTAAGGCACGATGCCCTAATTGCCTTAAGACAGAATCCCACTTACAGCTAGTTTGCAATTACTATAATTTACCCCATGGGAAGTTAATAACTACAAATTATAAAAGACATGCTAACTGAAATTACTTATTGATCATTCTATTAGGAACGTCTGATGACCCTGCGTGAAGCCAAGACAAGAAACGGCGCCTTCTGCGAAGAACTCATGCAGCAATTTGCTGCCAGACTTCGGGAAATCGGCACAGGTCTCAAGAGCTCCAGAACTGGAAACATCATGCCGGAGAGGTAATAAATTACCAATTCAAGCTACCACATATCAGTCTCTATTACCATGTGGTTTTCTACCTTTTCCAGTACCTGGTTCGTCTTCTGGACAGACAGATGCGTTCCTGGAGAGCTTTGGCAAATGAGCGAGTAAGTTACATCCGAACCAGAGATCGCACTAGGGAAATGGAGACGAAGGTCGCTAATCGGGAAATTATTTCCGAAGGACTGACTGTCAGTCTTTATGAAACGATGACGCTTGCCAAGATATCCTTCACGGATAAGATTGAAGGTAACTAAAAAAAAACTGGCAAACAGAAAAATTGTTTTTATAATTAACTTCCCGTAGGGCAAGTTATAGTAATCGCAAAAAAATCGAAAATGAAAATTTTTATATATCTTTACGTTTCAGAGGTTTCTGAACATTTTGGCATACCTTAGAAAAAATGCATGTATGTGTGTGTGTGTGTGTATGTATGTATGTATGTATGTATGTGCGTGTGTGTATGTATGTGCGGATACAAATTTTCGTCGACGATTTCGGGAACACGGATCAACCGATTTGAATAATTCAAAAAGCATTCGATTCGTATTGATAAGGAGACGTGCTGATTAGTTTTTGGCAAAGGCAGGTCCAGCCGTTCCAAAGATACGGGGCAAAAAGTGCCGAAAACGGTAACTCAGTTTTTAAGAGAACGGAGCGTCCGATTTTAATAATTCAAAAAACATTTTACTTGTATGACAAGATGGAGAACTGTTCAAATTTTTATGAAGGCAGGTCTAGCGGTTTCGGAGATCTAATGATAAAAGTAAAAAAAAATGCCATTTGGCGGTCAAAAATGATCATTAGACATATGCACATCAAATTATTAGATATTTTATAAAGATTTTAACAATAAGTATAACTTTTTTTTTACATTTTTATGGGTTCCGTACCAATGCTTATCCGTTAGACGGCGGCGCGGCAGTTGCGCGCTTTGACATTTTGTCTCTAAGCAGATAAAGCAGTACGATTGCTTTGAAAAACAGTTCAGAATTTCCAAAGTATGTCAAAATGAAAAAAACATTTTTTTTTCAAAAAAATTTTGTTTTCAAAAAAAAATTTTTTTTTCAAAAAAAGTAATTTTTTGTCAAATTTTTAGTTTCTCTCTAATTTTTTCGAAGTAAAATTTTTCAGAAATGTTTTAAAAAAAATTTTTGGCACGGGAAGTTCCAGCAATTTGCCTTAAGGCACGATGCCTTAATTGCCTTAAGACAGAATTCCACTTACAGCTAGTTTTTTTTATTATTTAAGAACGTGACGAGGAATTGTCCCGAATGCGTGACAAATGTCGTGGTGACATGGTGAAGGCCGCCCACGTGCGGGAAAAGGCGGCGGCGGTCGCCGCAGACACCGCCACCGCCAGGGAGGAATTGACTGAGCTGAAGGCGACATTCCAAAGCGTAAATAATATACTTACATATATTATATACTAGCTGACCCGGCAAACGTTGTTTTGCTAAGTAAGGTATATTTTAAACAATTTCTACAGAATCAAAAATATTTAATACTTCAAGTGTATAAGGATATGTTGATTGAATGCTATATACAATGATATATTATAAAAACAATAAACCCCCATTAGTTTGTCTATATTTTGTCAATACAATCAAACTGGAAGTTTTATACACTTTTCATAAAAAACATGCAATAATCCAATCCAAGTCTTTCTTGGTCTTTCGACTTATTGATTACGTTTCAAGTTTTTCAGATTCTTTTTGAATTCTGGATTTTGTGTATAATTGTAAATAAACAATTACAAACTGATTTTACAAATTTTCAATTTTTGCGAGGAGAGATAGAAAATGAATTAAGCATTTCTTCTTTGACCTGCATTTTGAAAAGTTTCAAGTAACATTCGATGAATTAAAGTAATTTTAATAAAAAGTATATATGTAGAGCACAAAGCGAGGCACAAAGGTCCAATTTGACTTTGATCAAATATAAACTATATTGTGAAAAACAAACCAATTACATCATAACAAATAACATTTCAAAACAATTATCTGACTACATTCATAAAACTGCCAGCTACTTCATCATTGTAGAAATGTGCTTTTTTGATGTCTTTCAAAAATTTGTTATCTAGATCTTTTACCCCATATACAGGGTAACTTGGAATGGCCAGATGGCAAACAGGTTTAATGTCTTATTTTAATTTTAAAGGTATTTTACAAAATAATTACGAACTAATGCTAAAAAACTACCAACGGAAGAAAATACTTTTATTATGGACTTTCAAATATCACCGTTTATCTCCAGATAGCAAAGTCATAAGAATCAAGGTTATAGCGGTTATACATTTTTTTCCCTCTACTTTCAAATATTGTTGTTAAACAATGCTTAACTTTACTGGTTTTGACACATTGGTTGTGGACCTTTTTAACTCCGAACCTTCATATATTTATTTTTTTTCGATAAAATTCTGGGAAATTATAACTGGAAAAATGTTATTCGACAAAATGTCCCTTTGATCGATGCCAATTTAGGTTCTGAATTTAACTAACATAAATAAAAAATAATATAACCTAGAAAATGTTTTATAAATGCCAATGAATATATAATTATACAAATGAGATCTTTTAGAGCACCAAAGAGTGCTACAACGCCAAAAAGTGCATTTTCATACTAACATTTTAAAAAAGTTGATATTTTGAGTTTCTAGTAACAC